CATGGACTTTGTGGTTGGTTTGCCGAAGACACAAAAGGGTATGGATTCGATTTGGGTTATCGTGGATAGACTAACTAAGTCAGCACACTTCTTGCCTGTTAAGACCACCTTCAACGCCGATAAACTTGCTTTGTTGTATATGAATGAGATTGTTAGACTTCATGGAGTGCTGGTGTCAATTGTGTCGGACCGAGATCTGAAGTTTGTTTTCAGATTTTGGCAGAGTCTATAAAGAGCTTTCGGAGCCGAGTTGAGGTTTAGCACAACTTTTCATCCCCAGACTGATGGGCAAACAGAGAGAACGATTCAGACACTTGAATATATGCTTAGACTATGTGTATTGGACCTCCAAGGAAGTTGGGGAGTACATTTGCCACTGGTGGAATTTACCTACAACAACAGTTATCAAGCTAGCATTGGCATGGCGCCATATGAAGCATTGTATGGAAGAAAGTGTAGGTCACCGATATGTTGGACCGAGGCAGGGGACAAAGCCCTGCTTGGTCCCGAGTTAATTCAAGTGACAACCGAGAAGATTAAGCTCATTCAGCAAAGAATCAAAACCGTTCAAAGTCGACAGAAGAGTTATGCCGACCAGAGAAGAAGAGAGTTAGAATTTGAAATCGGGGATCATGTATTCCTAAAGATTTCGCCGATGAAAGGAGTTACAAGATTTGGGAAGAAGGGTAAGTTAACACCCCGTTACATCGGGCCTTTTGAAGTTCTTGAGAAGGTTAACCTCGCTGCCTACAGACTTGCTTTGCCGCTAGAATTGAGCCAAGTCCATAATGTGTTTCATATTTCGATGTTGAGGAAGTATGTTCGAAATCCACTGCATGTGATCGACTATTTTGGGATTGTAGTTAATGAGGATTTAGGCTACGAAGAGAAGCCAATACGGATTGTCGACAGGCAGGTGAAACAATTGAGAAGCAAGTCGATACCAATGGTGAAAGTTGACTGGAAGGAGCATTACGGTGAGGATGCTACTTGGGAAATGGAAGAGGAAATGAAAGTCCGACATCCATAATTGTTTTTGGAACAAGGTAACTCAAGTTTGGGGACCAAACTTCTTTAAGGGGGGTAGGATGTAACAACCCTCACTTCAACTTAGTCATACTTGCATACATTCATGTATGATCTTGTCTTGTTATGTTACACTTGCAAATCTTGTCTTGTTTTGCTTGAGTGTTGCCTATATGCTTTGTTCTTGCCTGGTGTGTTGCCAAGGTCACCTTAAGCCTAGTCACCTTTGAACCTTTTTACACTTAGAACTATCTTGGAACCACTTTGGTCAACCTCTACCATCACCTAGGCATATTGGCCGAGATGTCATCATCTAAGCCAAGGTGTGTGTCACTTAGGCCGAGACGTGCATCATCTAGGCCGAGATGTTATCATCTAGGCGTCCTAGATCCTTGTACTTAGTGATTTTGTTCCTGGAATGGTATGACCTAGACCGAGGTGTGGCACATCTAGGCCAAGGTGTGGCACAACTTAGTCAAGTGTTGTCCTTCCAAGCCGATGTCGTTGTCACCTTACTTGTCGAAGCTTTGCCTTTAGCCGAGATCATCACTTGCCAGAGTGCTCTTGCCGCCTAGCTTGTTGAACACACTTTGTCATGGTCTTGTCTTGTCAGTCAGTCACCTTTTTAAGTAGAGCCAATCAGCCGATGCCACGTGTCCCAGCAGAGGGTTAAGTTAGTAACTGTCGAGAAAAAACATATCATTTTGTATCAAATCTTGTCTTTTAGAGAGAGAGACTCTAGGAAGAAGAAGGAGAAGCTTTTGAGTGAGAGAGTGGATTTCCAAGCTTGATTCCTAGAGATCGAACCGTTAGATCCGTGTTTTAAGGTTAGATTCGTGATCTACTCTTGTTATTCTTTATGTTGATCTAATCGCATTGCATGATCCAGCATGTTTCATAAACCATGCATTGCTTTGAAGTTCAGTTTTAGAAAGAGAAAGTGATATTCATGTGTTCTTGAAGAAAACCATGTTTTGATCCGAAAGTTTGTATCAAGATGCATGTTTTCTTGTTTGTTTTCATATGATCTTCAAGTATGGGTATCATGGTCCATGTTTTCGAACTCATAGCACGAAATCTCAGACTTTGTAATAACAAGTTATGATTTAAGCATGCATGTTCTTCATCTTCTCCATCTTCATGTTCCTCAAAGGGAAACTCAGATTTTCCCGACTTCGCTTTTGAATGTGGCCGTCGGGACCACACCTCGGCGAGAAGGTGTGGGACCTCGGCCAAGACCTGGTTGGTGCCCAACATGTTTTCCCGAGATGAGAAATAGTGTTTTGTTTTGATTTGACTTAGTTTTTGAAGAATGTCGAATCATCCGTTTGCATGTGAAGCTTGTTTGAAAGTGCGTTCAATAGACTTTGCCATGTGTTTGTAGGACTTGGACTTTTGCCTTGACCCCGACGTTTGAAGAACTATGTGAGTGGTATTTTTAATAAAGCTATGTTATAAAGTTTTGATAAAGCTTTGCTTTGCCTTGTTTTGATAAAAGTATTTGTTCAAACATGAATGAATATCCCTATTTTTGTGTATCAAGTAAATACGTTTGTTTTGATGGCATTCTTGGAGAAGTCCTTAGTGCTAGGGGACTATAATGCAACTGCACCCTTGTTTTGAAAGTCCTTAGTGCCAGGGGACTATAATGCAGCTGCACCATCGTTTGAGATATCTCCCTTGTTTTGTCTTGTTTTGCCATTGACGGTTTACCGCGTGGGTTTGTTTGTTCGGAATGTCATCATTTGCAATATGTTGATGCTAGTAAGCATCCCTAGAAGCTTTGAAGAATTGTTAGATGAACGTGGTTCATCCCTTGTTATGTAAAGTTTAATATGTTTTGTTTTGAAAAGACTTCGGCTATTATTCATGCAAACCCTTTATTATTTATATCATTCACTGAGTACCCAAGCTCACCCTCTCCATATATATATGTAGGTGATGAGCAAGAAGGCGGTGACACTTAGATGTGTTTCACAAGTTTGTTTTGGATTCTTGTTATGTCGGCTTGACTTGTATTCATGTCGGCAATCTTAAAGATTATGCTTCTCGACCTGTAATACTTGTATTTTGCACACGTCGGCTTGAGAAGCCTTTTGATCAAGATCTAACATGTACTTTACTTTAATTGTAACCATGTTGTAACCCATGTTAAGATGTATGTCATTTCATTTGATCTATGCACGGCTCTTATGGACCACTTGTATTTTAAATTATTGCTTCTGCATTTGCAAGCCCTTATGAATACTCTGTTTGTGTGCGAATCTTTGTGGGTTGGCCTTCGGTAATCTCAGATTACTGGCCATCACGACACCATCCTACTAGAGGTGGTTTGGGGTCGTGACACACGCTTTCTATACAAAACAGATTTCCCTAAACGTGTGGTTTGTAACCACGATTTCTTAATTAAAAGGGTGGTTTGTAACCACGCTTTTATGATTTTATCAATTTTCCACGGCTGGGCCAAAAATATGGTGAAAGCGTGATTTAAAATAAGGGAAAATTACCCATAGGTCCCATGGGAAATATGTGATCTCCATTTAATCCCATAACTTTTTCACTACACCCAAAAGTCCTTTCCTCTCTCTCTCTGCTTTTTGCTTCCCTTCCTCTCTCGTTTTTTTTTCTACATTTTTCTATCACCGTATTTGTCATGGAAGAGGACAATCTTTTGCATCATAATCTACTTCCCGAAAGTACGAATCCACTTCCGAGTTCAAGAAGAACAGTTCCTTGATCATATCTTTCTCCATTGATCGGGGTTCATTGATAACCACCAAGCATTGAAATCAACTCCGACGAAGAAGATGATATATTTTCTCATAAAAAGTTAAAAAATCATCCCAAATATACTAGTTTTTTTTAGCTCATATTTTAGCCAAATAGCCAAAAAGTTACTAAATTAGACTGTTTCCAAACGAGGCCTAAGTCTAGTTTGGGCGGAATTTTCAAAATAAGCTGAAACGTTATTCTAAAACACGCTTTCACAATATTTTTGACCCAGGCGTGGAAAATTTGTAAAATCATAAAAGCGTGGTTGCAAAGTACGTTTTTAATTAAGAAAGCGTGGTTAGAAACCACGCTTTTAAGGTAATCTGTGTTGTAAAGAAAGCGTGGTTAAAAACCACGCTTTAAAGAAAACTATTTTTTAAAGAAAACGTGGTTATCATCCACGCTTTTAAATAAAATTTGTTTTTTAAAGAAAGCATGGTTCGTAACCACGCTTTTAAGCCGAAACCCAACCCACAAATGTTGATTATTATTATTATTATTATTATTATTATTATTCAATTTACATTTTATAATTCACTCAGTCATCATGTAGATCTTTATATATAAATTACTCATATAAAATATCATATTGATAAACAATCTTAGCTACCAAATTTTATTATTTTAATATTTAAAAATAAATTATGTAATTTTGAAATTATGTTTTGCATCCATTATTAAAAAAAAAACGATAAAATTATATGTACGATTATCAGATCAATTTGATATTTACATAAATAATTTATACATAAAATTTTTAAAAAATAAACAGCATGAATTGTCAAAAGAGTAGTGATTAAAAGCGTGATTTTTAACCACGTTTTATTTACATAACAGTTTTCTTGAAAAGCGTGATTCCTAACCACGCTTTCTATACAAAACAGATTTAGTTTGTAACCACGATTTCTTAATTAAAAAGGTAGTTTGTAACCACACTCTTATGATTTTATTAATTTTTCACGGCTGGGCCAAAAATATGGTGAAAGCGTGATTTGGAATAACGCTTCAGTTTATTTTGGTAATTTCGGCCAAACTAGACAGTTTGAGAAATAGGTTAATTGTTAGGTTTATTTTGAAAAATGACCCCCAAACCTCAACCCAAATCTATGATCCGTATACAGCATAATCTGAACCAGTCTAATCATTGGATTAAAAGGAAGCATCTCCCGCTGGTAAATATGTCAACAATCTAGTCCAAGAACTAAAGGGGAGTCTCTTCTTATGTTAAATATGTTGACATTGACAGGGGGACTGCTTGCACTCGGATTTCTCAATAGCACTCATATTACATAACTGGCCATAACTGTTCACCAGGAGTGGTTTGAGTAATAATTAATAAATAGAAACATTTGAATTCTAATCTCCAAAAGCTCCTGGTGCTAATATTTCTAAGAATATATGTATATATTTACATCAGCCAACAACAATAAACCCCCTCAAGAACAAGAAAAGGAAAATGTTCAACTATAACTGATATATCCTTGCTATCTGGATAACCTCTGAAAACAATCTTTAGCTCTGTACCGAAACTACTTGACTCTGTCCTTTCACTCCCATTTTGCCAACTGTTTTTTACTTTCAGTTAGCAATCTCCTCCAACCGAACAACTCTGCAAAAGATTCCGAAGGTTCATAAAATAACAAAAATTGACAGAAACCCCAGAAGCCGCTGATGAACCAAAATGCTCTGTCCGTCTCTGTTGAAATTCAGAAGGGGACAACTCATCATTATAACATCTTAAGCTGACTTGTTGAATATCATGGATCTGTATCATTGTGGCTTTGTTACAAGGAAGATAACTTCACACCACACCCAAAAGATTTAAGAATTTTTCTGAATGGATGGGTTAGGTTAGGTGCAACAAAAAACAGCCCAATAAAAGCAATGTGTATCCTCACTTAATCTGAGAGCAACTCTTCCAACTCAGGCTCCTCATCGTCCACCCCCGTTCTATTAAACCAACCATTACCTAGAGGGGTATTTTGATCCTCTTCATCGTCGGGGTCAGGCCATTCTGGTTCATCATCATCATTCTCATCATCAACTACTTCACCAATATCTTTTCTTGTTGCACCAATCACTTTACCAAGCTTTCTAGGACCTGATTCCATTTTCTCCTTGGCCTCTGTATTTTCACAGATGCAAGCTGCTGGGTTCTCGTGAAACTCACCCCTGCCTGGCCTCACCTCCTTTGGCTCTCCCATCAATCCTCTCTGGTAATTACGCACACCAGATGCAAATACGTCCCATGTTGTGTTAACTCGGTTTAAGAACAAACGATACAGTTTTTTAGCATTTGGACGAATGGTAGGCTTGTGTCCATAATATCTCCTGCAACCAACAGAGAAAAAGTTTGTCAGCATTTAAGAGTTCTCTTCCCCAGTACCCCCAATGAAACGAAAAGCAAATAAACAAGAAAAATGTTGAACTAGGGTAAATTACCCTGACCTCCCATTGAGATTTGGAGAAAACCTCCCATTGAGATTTGGAGAAAATATAGCAAATCCTACAATTTTGGTATTAAGTACACCGATGACATCCATTATAGTAAGGCTAAAGGGACCGAAACTAGTCAAAATATAAAGAAGGTAAAAATATACATTTCAATGTAAAAATAATGACATCATTTTTCTATCGATATGAAACAAATTACTGATGAAAAGGGGGCAAAGTGTTAGATGAATTAAAACCTTAAGGGAGTCCAATGTAATTATGTCAATTTGTGGGGCTTACTCTATTTTCTCCGAACCTCAAGGAAGGTCAATGTAGTTTACCCAAAAAATAAAGACGAGAGCAAAAAACAGAAAGCAATCACACCTTCGTCCTGCTAAAATTCTTGCCATATTGCCATTGTTGTTTGTGACAAACACATCACTTTCATCACACACAATAAAATCTAGTGCAGCCATGCGAGAAGAAAATGCTGAAAATGGTTCTAGCTCTTCCTTGGTGGCTATGGTGTCTTTTGAATAAAAATTTGGGAAGAGTGCTTTTAGGGGGGCCAATGTCTCTTCCCCTCTATATACTTCCCCGGATGCCACATAAATATGAACATCTTTGCCATATCCCAGTGCTCTCAGCATCAGACCTACTTCTTCGGGAGTAAGTGGGCATCTTCCTTGCCTCCTTTCCCTATCTGGGTTGCTTTTCTGGAAAAAAATTAAAAAAAATTAAAAACATGTGATACATGTTATATGTACACACTGCAGAGTTGAGACCTTTTAACAAGATCCAAACCAAATTTGCATCTAGGAATGAAAACAAAACTCAGGTTTGATGACAATCAGTACATTAGAATGGTGCTGGCTATGGTAGTTATGTTATGGTAATGTTCTATTTACTATCTAAAACATTTCCAATGTGGCATTATTAACGCTCCCAAAAGGCCTGCAGCATTTGTCTCTCATCTCAAACAATTGAGATAACAAAATTGCCCTTCAATTCAATTTTTCTCATCTCTATTGCAACTATGAACCAATTCTCGTAGTCTAGGCTCTAGAACATATCAGCTATGGTGTCAAAAATCCAGACAGGCATGTGTGGAACCAGAACATCATTCTTTCTTGGCTGATACATATTGTCGACTAAAAAATTCAGAATTTTCTGAGGCAACTACAAACATGCTACTATTTATTGAAGTAATACACAGAAATCTCTTCAAAACATAGTCCAATGAGAAGAGATGAGGACTATAAGATCAAGAGCAAAACTTATTTATAGGGGAGTAAAATGCAGGGATTTTTTTGGAGGGAGACTAGGGCTACCATAATTTATTTTCCCAACTAGCCATTAAAAGCTGTCAAAGATTTGGAAAAAAAAATTAGTGTCAATTCATGTATTATTATATTGATATAATTTTTCGTAATATGCACTCAAATAATTTATAAAACATACATAAATATGCATATATATTTTAAAATATTCTGACAAATACAAAAGAAGCAAAAAGCAATTAATGCTCATGTCTATGAAAACTTATGTTTCTCAATCACCGAAGATTCTCGTATAGTTGCACAAATATGACATTTTATTTTTTTGGTGATAAATACACAAATATGACATTTTGAGCCTTACATGTAGGGTTTTCCATCTTTTTCGTATTGCACCCAATTCTTTCCTTTCCTTGTCTCCTCCACCATAATAACATCCTGAGAATGCAAGCATATCAGGTTCAAACCTGTAAGATGAGACATTTTGTTGGATCAAAATACTTCCCCATCCTTGTAGTTCATATTATAGTTAAAGGAAAACAAATTCATAGCCTTTGAATTAGACAATACAGTACAGTGAACAAAAATTCCCATTTCCACTCCAAGCATAATAACCATAAATAATAGTAACAAGTATGCTACAGAAAGGTAGTTATCTGGTAATTAAGTTCTTGTTGACACCTAACAGGTTACTTCATGTGCATCCATCCAGATCACATACGCTTAACAGGTTACTCATTGTTTGTAGAAACATTTCTGCTGGTTAACTATTTAATTTGTCAAATTGGTAACGTATCGGTTTCATCAATGGAGTTCATAGATGCAACATATGCAGTAATAACTAAAATGCCTCCATCAGAGATCGAGGGAACATATTATTACTTTGTACGCATTAAGAATAACAGCAGTATGAGGGCATAAAGAAAAGAAAGCACATTGATGAACCCATATGAGCAATCAGGGACCCATAAGAATCAAAAAGCAACCAGAACATCATCTTCATTCGATGGACCAATTGTTCACCCATTTCAATTATAGGATCAGTGAACTTCAAGGCATGATAGTTAACTCTGCATCTAAGCTTTTGTAATTCTGTGTCCAACCTATTTGAAAGTCTGTAATCAAATTTGTTGAGCTGAACAGCCTTCATAAGAATGAAAACCATAAAGTATTAGTTTTACAATATAGTAAATCATTCAAGGCCAAATCTAGAGGATAAAAACATAACCGTGCAACTCAACAAAACCTTATCCCAAGATTCCCAACTACCAGGGGTTATTGACATGATTTCTGATCTAATGCTTTCATCAGAATTGCACGTAAGTTTCCCCATGGGTCATCAACCTAATACAACACTCCCACTTCACAGGACAGGGACAAAGATGAGGAAAACTCAGCCTTAAATACATCCAGTTCAACTCTTAAAACAAGATTATAGAATTAACTGGAAATATGTAGCCAAGGTTTTAAAAAGCGGCCGCAACCGTTACGTAACGCCGTTACGTAATGGTTTTGGCGGTTACCGCCACCCGTTACGGCCGCTTTTGTAGTGTGATTGAGATTCACAGGTGTGTCGGCCGTAGCGGTTGCCGTAGCGGTCGTAACAGTGCCGTAACAGCCGTAACGGCTTGTTATGCACCGTTACGTTACGGTTCCAAATTGTTTATTTCGAAAAAACACACAAAAAAAAGCTAAAAATGGGGGAAGAGGGATAGAGAAAAGAGGGAAGATAAAGATAGAAAATGGAGGAGTAAGAGATAGAGAGAGAAAATAGGGAAGACGAAAAACATGTTATTAATTTGTTGAAGCTGTAAGGCCTATTGCTATTCTATTCAGCTGCTATCACTCAACCATTTTGTTTGTGTGTGTCTATTTATATATTATTTGAAAATAATAATAATAAGTGTGGTCATTATCTATTTAGCTTGGTTGATATATATATATATATATATTTAAGCTCTTATTTATTCTCTTACTTTTATCATTGTTTATCTTATATATATAATAGTTAGTGATTGATTTTTTGTATAATATAGAGTTATTAATTATTAAAATAAAATGTAAAAAACTCAGTTTATAGTGATTTAAAAATATGAAATATATTGGATCATACTTAAAAATTTATAAAAATTGATCAATATTTATTTTTAACCCAATAAATATGATCATGGAAAAAAATATGCGTATCGGTAAGTTTTTTTAAAATTGTACGAAAAATAAAAAAATTCACGGTTCCGATTACCACAACCGTTACACTACGGCCTTTACACCCTGCAACCGTAACCGCGCCACCGCCACCGTTACGGTGACCATAACCGCTTTTCAGAACCTTGTATGTAGCCCAGTCCAAATGGTTAAGATAAAGCTTAGTGCAGTTGAGCACACTGCAGTGCTTTTCGCATAAGAAAGTCATACCACAGTTTAAAGCACTAAAGCCCAGACTCCAGCCTTTCTGACATGGCCGGCCCGGTTACCCAACGCAGATCAACTTCATGCTAAAGACTCTTTATTCAGTCAGAAAGAGAAATGTAAAGGAGGGAAAGAAGAAAGATATGGCACTAGCATCTAGTCAGAGTAGGCTTCATTAACATTCTCACGTTCTCCAACTGTCGCTGAAAAATCTTCTCAATCAACAACAGCAAACCACCGAGCTAAGGTATTTTGGTTTGGAGAAGAGTTATTGTTATTTAATTTATCCAAAAAAAAAGTGTTATTGTTATTTAGCACCACATGTGAGATGATTGTACCAGGAATCTTTTTCACAGACAAGTAGCTTTCTCCTTCTTGTAAGGAGATCTTTAAAATTGGAGGGGTGCCGCACAAAATTAATGAAATGCACAACCAAGGAAGGGGGAGAGAAATAAAGAAAAGTAGAGTCTCAGGGAAAAGGGATTTGATCTAAATAAAGACCTAAGGACCTTCCATAAACCAGTTAATGCATGGACAAGGCTGCATCATTCACAGAGCCAACTGAACCTGCATGGCTGCAACTGGTACAAACCAGTGTTACCAAAAAAAAATGTTAATATCTAAGCAATTTACATTTTGAAGTGCGCATTCCGAAAAATAGTTTACTTTTGTTCCAAATCAATGAATATCCAAACAATTTGGAAATTTCTTCCTATTTATTTTCTTAATGTTTCTTAGGAGAAAAAAAATATTAAATATGATAAATTAAAATCTAGAGAAAGAGAGTATTTTTAGCAAGACAAAATGGCCCTGAGAATCTACTTATTTCTAAATGGTTGGTAACTTGGTAATTATGCTATTTATGAAGCACAGATACTCCAAAAAAGGCCACCAACGAGTATCAAATATGGAAATGCCAAAAAAGGCCACCAACGAGTATCAAATATGGAAATGCATCCGATATAGCTGGATAAACATATCAGATACGACAAAAAAAAAAAAAAAAGCATTCATTTTAAATTTATAAATTTCGGATATGTCTTTGATATGTATGGATTCGAGAAAAATACGCTTCAGATACTTCTTCGATATGGTGGGGCAAAAATGTAATTTAGAAAAAAAATTTATTAGGAGTCAAACTATAAAAATATTAAAGTTATAAAATAATAAGATATCTCCTACTCACCAACATCAAACGAAGTAAGAGAAAACCCTAGCCTCTGTTGAGTTTTTGGCGAAGAGGCTGTTGAAGACTTAAACTTATCAAAGACTTGATTTCAGCTCCATCTCCATCAAACTAAAACTCGATTGGCAGCAGGAGGTCAGTCTTCTCTCTCTCTTTTTATCTTTTTTTCTTTCTTCAATCTTGATCTTAACCAAGACTCAACTAATGCTCTCTCTGAGACTATTTTTTCCCCTCTTTTTTCCTCTCTCGGACTCTCTTTCATCTTCTTTCCCTCTCTATTTTTCTCTCCCTTTAGGCCCACTGCCCAGCAGCATCGCTATTCCCTCGCCTCTGTTGAGTTTTTGGCGAAGAAGCTGTTGAAGACTTAAACTTATCAAAGACTCGATTTCGTTGAAGCAGCTCCATCTCCATCAAACTAAAACTCGATTGGCAGCAGGAGGTCAGTCTTCTCTCTCTCTTTTTATCTTTTTTTCTTTCTTCAATCTTGATCTTAACCAAGACTCAACTAATGCTCTCTCTGAGACTATTTTTTCCCCTTTTTTTCCTCTCTCGGACTCTCTTTCATCTTCTTTCCCTCTCTATTTTTCTCTCCCTTTAGGCCCACTGCCCAGCAGCATCGCTATTCCCTCGGAAGGTTAAAGTTGCCGGCGGAAACAGTTGTCTTTATCTGACTGTTCAATGGGTAGTTTTCTTTTTGAGATCTTGAATATTTTTATGTTTTAATTCCTAGTTTCCCATTAGCCTGATGCTTGATTCTTCCCTTCATTTTAATTGATGTTTTTTTCGTTTGATGTTAATTGATGTTTTGGAGGTTTTTTCCCCCTTTGTTTAATATGTAACAAACTTGTTTTTGCTGAATTTGTTGTATGCTGAACTAATGCTGAAATTTTCTGAATTTAGTCCTAAATGTTTTATGCATGTACTCTTGCTTTTGGTTTTATTTTATGCATGCTACATTACTAATAATTACAAAAATATTTCTTGTTATAAACATATCCAGCCCTACCCGTATGCTGCCTTTTAGGTTTTGCTCACTGTATCCATATTGTGTATTTGCATCTTGTATCCATGCTTCCTAGCCTTCCATTAGTCTGAGTTGGGGTTTTCCAATAATGCAAGTGAGTCGTTGAACAGATTTGAATTCAATTTGGTTGCTGAAATGGTTATCACTGTTTCCAAACACTTTCACTTGCCTAAAATGTTGTCAATAGTTCATTAATCATAAATTCCTTAAATTTATGCAGCTCAGCCAAATTATATTTTACATCCTGTTATGCAGAGTGTGAAAACAAGAAGAGTTGCAAATTATAAATTTTCAAGAGCACAATTTGGACCATGTCGGTCAAACTTGAGTCTTTGTTTATGTGTATCACAAGTTACTGATCAAACTCGCATATGCTTTGCTAAGTTCTACGGATCAAGGGCAGTTTAATAATTTCCTTAGGGTAAAATATTTACTTGATATGAGCTATAGTATGGGTCCATCAGTCATGTATGGGATCATGTTGTGTTATTTGGTCTATGGTCTATGTTAAAAGTATAGAATTTTTTAGACGTCAAATTTTCCTATTTTCCTATTTCAGTAAAAGGAATACCCTAGCAACTATAAATATCTACTTAATATTTCTATTTAATAGAATTGATGGTCACTATTCCCCCAAAAAACAACCAGGATACTCTTCCCACAGCAGTATTCACAGCCAATAAATAGACTTCTTCTTCAAACAGTTACAATTCCCCAATAATAAGCAAGATACTACAATGGTAGTATTCATAGCCCCTCAATAGACCACATTTCAATGGTCAACCCCAACATGCTAGTCTATCAAGTCTGCATAAATCCAACCCCCACGTTCAACTTGACGTTTAAAATCTTACTTTTGTGGTTGTCCAATGCTTCTAATGACAGCATTTAGTGCATGTACAGGACCAAAAACTCCACAAAGCCTACAGAATCTGCACCGCCACTACAGGTACGAACTAGTGTTATCTAAAAACTTAATACCTTAGTGATTTACATCTTGGAATGCACGTTCTGAAATATGGTACATTTTTCGTTCGAAATCAGTGAATTAAGTAAACTGAAGATATCCAAGAAACATCCAATTTATTACCTTAAACATTTGCTTTGGAGAGAAAAAATAAAAAATAAAATATGATGAATTAAATTCTAGAGTGGTGTCAAATACAAGATTCTAGTGTCGCTAATGCTGAAACTTAATCAAAGTGAATAACAACAAACAAAATATATGTAATTAAATGCTAAAGTATGCAATCTCAATGGATATAATCATACAATTGAACATACCCATATGTACATTTACATTTTTATTTCTAACAAAGTAAAATATCTTAGGGAGTTAATAACTTACACGCTTCTTTAGAAGATTGGGCAATACACGAGTTTGATAGCATTTAGCATTACACTTCCTTGGAACACCCATGGTATATGGAGTCCACATCTTTCCAGCCCTTCTTGGGAGCTCTTTTATAATTTTTACATCTTTCAATAGATGTGATATGAACCAGTCAACATCAAAGATCTCTGAAAAGTTACTGCACAAGACAAAGGAACTTGGCTTTGGCTTTTATAAAGCATTGCTATGATAAAATGCACAGAACAGTCGATCTTTCTTTCATATACGACAATGGGACCTAATATCAAAACGGATTTTAAGAAAGTGTTGGAGAAACATATGCAAATTCCATGACTAACCTTGCATCCTTCCAAAAGGATTTCTGATCCAACTTTGGGACAACAAGTGTAGCATTCAAAATGCGGGCAGCAACTACAGCATCTGTAATCTGCCAAAAGATGGGAATAATAACTTACACACAAACAACTAGCCGTTACGACATATTCAGAATAATGCTAAATATACCAGAATAATGTATACACACACCCACACCCACACCCACACCCACACCCACACCCACAGCGAGCAGTCCGCCATATTCACTGACAGCATATTCTGGCAAATCATACATATAAAGGATAGAATTAAAGTATTATGGTGGTAACTTTTTGCATTTAGAGGCAGGATGAAAATTTATCTGAAGGGTATTCGAGCATCAAAAGCTTAAGAACCACGACCACCTTGTAATAATGCTTCCTTACATCAGTAAGAACTCAAACAACAGAAAATGACTATCACTCAAACAACAGAAAATGACTATCTGACTACTACGATTACCTTACAATAGTTCTTCTAAATTGGAAAGCCTTAGTTTTTTTCTCAAGTATGAGAACAGACCAGAGCACCAAGGCCTCTCAAAAGAATCTGACAGAAGAAGGTTCCAACAAACATTGCATATTTGATGACAAACAGCAGGAAAAAAAAAAAAAAAAAGAAAAACGAAGAAGAAGAAGAAACACCTGCAGTGACAGTGAGCTGAAATGATAGCATCGAACAGCAATTGCAACGAAAGTAAACATTAGATTGCTTATAATTCCAATAAAAATATTCAGGTTTTGTTCCATTGATCCAACCTCCTAGTAACCTATAATCGATAATTAAGTAGATCCCGTTGACTACTAAACTAGTTCTTTAGACCAATATTTAAGACTACAATCAAGTCCAAATTAAGTTCCACGCGTGTTAACCTTCTCTTTAGCTTCTCAACACAGATAAACCATTCTCCAAACACTCGAAAAACCAAAAATAGATCTAGATTACCCTTCGGCAATTCCAAAATAACATTTGATAGATATAATTACCCCAGTTCTTTGTTGGTTCAAACCTCCACTGGTCGCAATTAACAAGTACCGATTGGATTGCGTGATTAATTTAGCATCTGCAATTTGAAGAAGAAGAAAAAAAAATCCAAATCAACCAGAATACTATAATGGCAACAGAACAAAATCGACAAACAAGAAGCAGTATAATAAAAATTAAAAAAAAAAAAAATCACCAGCAAATTTTTTGCTTGCATTACTGCATCCGTAGTAGAATTTAGACAGTGTTGAACTCCAAATGTCACGATCCAGTCTTCCTCCACTGATCTACATTCCAATAAGCGATAAATAAATCAAATAAAACAAACTCAGATCCAATCGAGCTTAATCAGTGAATAAGAAGAATAACTAGCAAAAGATAAAAACCCTAACCGGAACACGAAAAACCGAAACTCCATCGTCGTCGACGTCATTTTTTAACTGAACAGAGAATCACAAGTTAATTGAATACAGCAAGAACAATATGCATACATATATATATGTGCGTGTGTGTGTGTGATTGTAGTGTATATGAAGAGAGAGAGAGAAATGAGGAGAGGAGTACCGAGGCAGGGCGGAGAGGGAGGTGGTGGAGGTGTTGATTGTGAGTTGGAGAAGGGGCGAGAAAGGAGAAGAGAAGGAAGAGGAGGAGCATAGCGCCGGATACGGCGGAGATTGCGGGAATAAGGGCGCGGAGGCGGCCGTGGTTGTGGTGGCGCCGCCGGTGGAAAGCCGTGACGCCCATGAAGATCGTGGTAGCTATACAGCTGAGCTGAGCGGTGCTCTTTCTCTCTCCTTCTGTTTACTCTATAGCCAGAGCGATGCTTTGGAGAGAGAAAGAGAAAGAGCAATAAACCATACCATAATTCACGCATAAACCACCTCTCGAAAAAAAAAATGAATGTGCAGTTGGGATTACCTAATGAGTACGGGCAACTTGGTAAAGGTCTCGGGGGTTAAGACGTTAGGTCTTAAGTTTGATATTTTTTGGGTTAATTTTTTGGGCCTAGTATAGTTGATTAAGAGTTTAGTCATAAATTGTCTAGGAGGCGAGTCTCAAATTATTATTATCACAATTGGGTATTCAATCTATTATATGTAGAGTTTATTATTAAACTTGTGGGACACATCAGGAATTTATTTTTAATAATTCGAACCATTTAATATATAAAATTTGTCAAGTACTTTATGGTTGTATAAAAAAATTATATTAATCGAATATCGGTATCACAGGATCGAAACACATTTTTGGGGTGTCCTAAAAAAGTCAAAAAGTCAAAAAGTCACTATCTTATTTAAATCACATCATTTTATTTAAGTCACATCAACTCTCTATCCCATCACTTCAAACCTAACCCATACCTAACCCATATTTCATAAAAATTCAAAAAGTACAATTATTTAGATCATCCCAAACTACTCCTAAGTATTGTGGTGGGCCCCACAAACCTAAGACCTTGTTTGTCATCTCCTAAAAAAGTTAAAAAGTCACTATGCTATTTAAGTCACATCATTTTATTTAAGTCACATCACCTCTCTACCACATCACTTCAAATCTAACCCATACCCAATCCATATTTCATAAAAAAATCAAAAAGTACATTTATTTATATCATTCCAAACTACCCCTAATAGTACGCTCTAGTCCACATTATGGACTAGAGAAAAGCCTCTCCCAAAAATAAAGCATCAACCTTCTCTCTGGTATGAGATTGGACTGGAGTGTGTTGTTGGGTCTACGGGGTCTATATTACTGCTTTTGTTTTGATGATTAAAATCGTTTAATATATAGAATTCGGTGAGTATTTCATACCTGCAAAAAATTACTTTGATTGAATATCGATAGTTACTTGATCCAATCATATTTCTGTCAACAGTAAATATGATTTTCAAAATAAATTATTGATAAAAATCTGATATGATCAAGTAGTTATGATATCTAATCAAAGTGATTTTTTACAAAAACTCGTTGAGTATTTCATACCTGCAAAAAATCATGTTAATTAAATATCGATAGTTATTTGATCCAATCATATTTCTATCAATGGAAAATATGATTTTAAAATAAATTATTGATAGAAATGTGATCTGATCAAGTAGCTATCGATATCTAATCAAAGTAATTTTTTGCAAGAATGAAATACTGGACGAGCTCTACACATTGGCCTTGTTTGGGAAGTTGGCTATTTTAGTAGGCTATTTTAGTTTTTGATTATTTTAGTAGACTAAAATATTTGTGTTTGAGAAGATAGTTGGATTTTTTTGTATTTGGATGTGATGTTTGTGAGAGAAAAAGTGAAATAATAATAGATTTGATGCGGCATTTTATCTTACTAACTATTTTAGCCTATTTTGTCATTTTGTGGATTTTAGCCCCCTCAAAAAAAAAAACATTTGCCTAACAAAGCCGTTGAATGGTTCGGATCATCGAAACAAGACCCATGATGGGTCTCATGAGCCTGAACAACATGGTCCAGTAGATTGGAGAGAATCTAAGTCTAAAAATACATGCTTGTGATTTCTCATATAAGAAAAGAAAAGAAAACAAATGATTATGATTTCTCATCATTATATTTGGATGAATAACAAAGAATTAATTCACTTAAAAAAAGAAAAGAAAAGAAAAGTGGATATGGATGTGGTTTCTCATCTATCTTATTTGGATAGAATAAATACGAAAAAATAAAGAAAATTGTTGTATTTTATTTTACCAAAATAATCTTCCTTATTAATAAGTTATGTTTTTTTCATAAGGGTAATTTTGATATTTTAAATTTTTTTAATTAAATCCAAATTCCTTTATCATCAAATCTCACCACTTTTGTGAGAAACAAAACATAGGTTTGACAAGAATTATTTTCTCACTATTTCTCACCTACTTAACTATTCAAACAAGTGAAGAGATTTTCTGCTCTCACAATTTTTTTATTTTATTTTCTCACCAAACCCTTTCATCCAACGGAATGTTAGTAAATCCTTTCAATACATATATATCTCTCTTAAAAAGTGAAAAAAAGAAAAGAAAAGAAAAGAAAAGAAGAGTGTATTATGGTTTTGTTTAAGAAGTTAGTTATTTTAGTTAGTTTTTAATTTTTTGGTTATTTTATAACATGAAAAAAAGTTGTATTTTGAATGATTTGTAGATTTTTTTTATAATTGAATAGATAATTGTGAAAGAGAAAGTGATTAATTGATGTATATAATGTGACTTTTTATCTTATTAGTTAGTAGTTGTTGGGCATGTGCTATTTTAGCACATTATCTTATTTAGGTTACAATCATCTTATTTAAGTCACATCACATCTCTACCACATCACTTCAAATCCAACCCATATTTAACGTTTTTTCATAAAAAGTTAAAAAGTATACTAATCTAATACTTCCCAAACAACCTCTTAATTTAATCTTTATCTTTATAGACTATTTTAACCAAAAAAACTCTTACCAAACACCCCTATATGTGTTTTCAACACCGCTACATCCACCAAATTCGAGCTAAACAAATTCATGGACGAATCGTTAATCATGCCTTTTATTGCGGGTTTAAATTCTCTTAAGCTAGTCATCTTAATTTGAGAAAGTGTGTTTGGATTTGGTGGACCCATTTTGGGGTTGACTTCAGTGATTTGAATCATTCTAGTCTTAAGATTTATTAAGCAGAATATTTATGAAGAAAATGAAGATAATCGGATATCAATAACTATATATTTAAATCACATTTGTATTATAAAAAAAAGAACAACTATTATTGAAGTTATCTTTATCCTCCATTTTTTCAAATAATGTAATTCAATCAAATAATTATAGATATTCGATAATCTTGATTTTTCATATTAATGTTCTACTAAATAAATCTTAAAAAGTGAACGATTTAGATCATTGAGATCAATCCCAAAATAGGCTCATCAAATTCAAACACTCTTTTAAGTTAGATTACCAACTTGAGACAACTTAGACTCTTTTATTAAGGATGAGTTTGAACTTTGATCGATCGGTGACTCATACCACGCGTATTATTTTTATGATTTAAATGTTTATTTTATTATGTCTTTGGTATATATCATTTATTAAAAAAAGTAGATCAATTCAATAATCGAAACATTTTTATTTCATCATATTTATTTTAAAAAATTGAATAGTCTATTTTAAAAATATACTTATCGTCTATTTTTTTCCAGATACAAACACAATAAAATGAAAAAAATTATAATTATTGGATTGATATAATTTTTTTTATCGATGATATATATTGAAAATCTTACAAAATAAATATTTGAAATTATTAAAATGAGACTCTTAGGAGGCCTCATTAACCCCTCATGTTCAAATCTAAACTTTGCCCAACCCATTTTATTATTATGCATTTTTATGATTGATGTTACATATTTTTATAATAAGCCACGTAATTTTTTGATATAATTTCAATCATTAGTGATTCAGAAATAAAGTTTATGCGTTTATAATCTACCACATTTTTTCATCAAAATATTTTTAAACCACCCAATGTTAAAAATGACATAATTTATGTAGGGATGATGCTAACAAATGTCTCAGGTAGATAACTAAGAATGTTTTGTTTCATTTAGTAAGTCTAGAAATTTGTTAAATATTCAAAAAACAAAAAAAAAAAGGTTACAAATAAAAAGTTGCTAAATATATCTCATTTAATTAATAGGCTAAAAAATATAATATTACTAAATCCAAGACAAATTAATATAATATTAAATACACATTAATAAGTTAAAAATAAAAAGTTACTACAAACCAAATCAAACCAAGCCTTAAGTCCCATCAAATGGGGTCGGCTATATGAATCCTCCTTCTCCACGCGGCTCTATCAAAGGTCATTTCATTAGTCAAATTAAGTAGATCAATTTCTTTATTTACAACGCTAGCCAACGTTAATCAAGGTCTACTCGGTCCCCTAACACTTCTATCTACCGTCACTGCAGCGCATTTCTTCACTACTGTCTTTATTGGTCTCCGTTGAATATAACCAAAACCATCTCAATCGATTATCTCTTAATTTATCTTCTATCGGTGCTACTCCTATCCATGCCCGAATACACTCATTCTTAATTCTATCTTGTCTAGTTTTGCCACACATCCACCTTAGTATACTTATCTCAACAACACTCATCTTATTGACATGTTGTTTCTTAGTGGCCCAACACTTCTTCCCATACAACATCACTGGTCTAATAGCAGTTCTATAGAACTTACCTTTTAGTCTAGTGGGTATTCGTTTATTGCACAGTACCCCAGATGCACATCTCCATTTAAGCCATCCTGCCTTAATCCTATAGGTCGCATCTACATCAATTTCCCCCGCCGTTGTGATAATCGAACCTAAATAACGAAAATGTTCACTCTTAGGTAATTCTTGGTTTTCAATTTTCACTTCTCCTCTGCTTTCATTGTTATTATTACTAAATTTACACTCCATGTACTCTGTCTTAGTTCTGCTTATCCCGAATTCTTTAGATTCAAGTGCTTTTCTCCAAATCTTCAACTTTGTGTTAACTCCTCTTCACTTCTCCTCCTTTTTTTTTTTTTGATTTTTCATATCATTATAACTCAATTAGAGCTCTAATTTTAGGGGGATGAATCACTACTGCTTGGCCTATTTTTTTTTTTTTTGGCCACGTAGGTAGAGCTCAATTTAGAGCTCTACGTTTAGAGCTCTCTATCACCACTGCAATATTAAATACATCTTAACCGTTGTTAGCATTAGCCTTTTATGTAATGGTAGAGTTATAAATTTAAAAATTTCAAAATGATAATGAAAAATTTCATTCTCTTTTTAATTGGTTTAAAAAATGAGCAAAACTAGTATAATTTTAATTCAAGTTGTGAAAATGTTTTTGAATGATTTTTATTTAAACTTAAATTAATTTGAGT